AAAAATATCTTGAATGATTTAATGAAACTGAGCTTAACACTTTTTTTAAGAAAAGAGAGATCAAAGGAAAGGTTGGGGTCAAAATGTTGTTGCAGTTGAAAAGCTTACATCAGTGTGAATTTACTATTAGCATATGAAGTTTGAAAAAAATATAATTAATGGTTTCTTTAAAACTTAGATAAACACATATTTTAAAAAGTGAGGTCAAGGTCAAAAGAAAATTCAAGGTCAAAATAAGTTGATGCATTAATACCTCTCAGCAGTATGTATTAGTATATGAAGTTTGATAAATATATCTTGAATTGTTTATTCAAAACTAATCTATACATTAATTTTAGAAAAGTGAGGTCAAGGTCACAGGAAATGTCAAGGTAAAAAAAAGTGAAGCATTGTAAGGCTTACATCAGTATGTATCATCATGTGAAGTTTAATTACACAACTTGAATGGTTTCTTTAAAATAAAGCTAAACACTAATTTTAAGAAAAGTTAAGTGAAGGTCAAAGGAAAAGTCAAGGTCAAAAAATATTGCTGCAGTTGGATAGTTTACATCAGTATGTGCATCAACATATGAACTTTGATAAAAATATCTAGAAAGTTTCTTTGAGCTCGATGGAAAGACAGATGGAAGGGTGGAGGATGGACATGACAAAAACTATACATGTATTCCTAATCATGACGTGGCATAAAAAAAACTTGAATCTACATTATATGAGGATGTTTCCATATCAAGATTATACAAGCAAATTCAAAGAATTGTGGTCCTCTGCTTTCTGTGTTTTAATGAATGGGATGCCATTATTTATGGCAGATTGTGCGTCAAATATGCACCCATATCATATGTCAATTTATGAAAATTAGGTAAAAGGGGAAAAAATCATAGCATGCTCGGAAATATTTTGTTGCAGTTAATGTACATGTCAAATATGAAAGTCCCATCTCTTTTCAATCAAAAGTTATATATATATATAAATATATAATATAATATTTTTGAAAAGTAGGTTAAACTTCTAAGTCCAGGTCATAGAGTCAAAAGTCATGATATATTTAGAAAAGTCTTTTCACATGTAATATACATGTATAATTTAAATGCCCTATCTTTTCTCTTTCAAAATGATTAATTTAAAATGATATTTTTTGGAAAGTAGGTGAAACTTTTAGGTCAAGGTCTCACTTGGGTTAAAAAATCATAGTACATTTAGAAAGTTTTGTGGAAATGTACATGTGAAATATGAAAGCCCTATCTCTTATTATTCAAAAGTTATGACCAAGGTTTAATTTATTGTGACAGATGCACATACTGTCAAAGATGGACAGACTGACAGACAAATAAGATTTAATGTTCCCTCCCTTTCCCAAAAACGGGAGACAATAATGCCCTTGCTGTTCTCGAGAAGAAGATTTATGATGGAAAAAAATCCCCTGCATTTTTCTTAACGCAAATCAATATTGTGTTTTTATGTCATTTGTTTGTTTGTTGTTAAACATCCCTCTCAGGAATTTTTCACTCAAATAGAGACACCACCACTTGAAAAATAATGAGGACAAGTCAGATTTGAGGTCAACATTCATTTTAGGAGTTTTCATCCATTAAGTCGTAAAGAGATATGACCTCAATCCTTCCCCTCATCCCTTCCCAGTCCCCTGTTTATTTATGTATGCAAACTACGACCTGTTTTACATTTAAAAAAAAATGTTAATATATACAAATACTTTAATGTGGTCCATCTCTTTGAATGATTTTCCTAATTCTAGGAGGATAGGTTGATGAATATAATGTCAAGCAATCTTATCATTGATGCACTTTTATTTAATTTAATGCAGTCATATTGTGAACATTTCCAGTTCATTATAGGAGAGTGGGGATGACCGCCTGGGGTTCATAACCTTTATACAATTAAATTTACATAACATAATAACACAAAAAACAAAATTATGTATAGTCAAATGGAAAAAGTTTCCTACTATTTAGGAGTCACATGATATGATCATTTGTCATTACAGGGAAAGGGAGTGGATTGGGAGACCCCCCCCCCCCTTCGGAATTTGCAGGACTATAATATATACTGAAGCAAATAAAAATGACTTTGGATGCCCTCCACCCTAGAAAACAGACCCCACCACAACTTCTCTTTTTTGTTGCTTCTCAGGAAATTCTGGTCTGGAAATTCCCCCTCCCTCCCAGAAAAAAAATTCTGTATCTTGTAACTGAATGTAACGTCGATAACGGGCGATAACTCTTCAGAATGTGAAATGCGTCTTATTGGAGCATCGGATGACCTTTGATCCTTTAAACTTTAACCTAACCAGTTGCATTTCAGACTATTTAACCCAAATCTATACCAAAACTTGAACTTACCGACTGTCATAAGTCCCTTCAACTTCACGAAATATAATCCAATTAAAACACAAAATAATTCCAACTGACATACATGCAATGATGTTACACCACACTAGTACTGCACGTGCAGTGCTATCTAAAAATGATTATGGTAAAACTAGTACTTAAGTTAGGTACGTGACGCAAGCCCAATGTGATGCAGATGTTCAGATATATTTATAGTACAAGAACAAATTTAAAATTATCATTTACAAAAGATGTTTTATCTTAACTTTGTCATCTAGGCCTATTTCCAAAACAGGCAAATAGGGTGTGTTTGTGTGTGTGTGTGTGTGTGTGTTGATAGGAGAGGGGTGGGGGGTTGACTAGATTGATTGGGTATATGGCAGCTTTCAAGGTGTTTCTGCCTAATCAAAGTACATTTTGAAAAAAATCATCAAAAACGCTTTACACTAATTTGAATAATATTATTTGTTGTTGATCTATATGAGAAAATAGATTTAAAAAGTTCCAATTATGGGCCAAAAATTTATATCCCCCCTTTATCAAACCTAATTTACATCATTAATCAAATTCTATTGTTTAATTTCAGACTAGTAATGAATTAAGAATATGAAATACCTATAAGATCGAGGCCCATGGGTCACATGGTCACCTGAGAATATTATGCTCAATTTGATGAAAACAGTAACATGTATTATGTAATTTATTGAATTATATTGACTTTTTCCTTGGTAAAGCCCAATTTGAAGGAGTGTGCATTTCGAGGCAAACACCTTAGTGCGGGTATTACTGTCTCATGACAGCATCTAGTTTTTAAATACATTTTTTTTCCCTTTTAATTAAGTACTACAATGAATCTTCACATAGAATTATTTCAATGCTTAGAATATTATGTTTTGTTTCTTTTCATCTCTTCCACCATTTTTACTTTTTAAAACAAAATTATTTCATTCTCTTACTACTTATATTAAAAAGTACTAGAAATAATATTTAATAACTCTATTTGATATTATATGTAAAAAAAAATAATGAAAAATAAAATGCGGTTTGCAAAAAGTAAGGTTAAATATTAGCTTACCTATTGTTTATATTTGTTGGCTGATCCTATAAAAAGACGTCAAAGTTCATGTTGTACACGCCATATTGGTGTGTATATTGGAAGTTTACGCAACAAGAAATGTTCAACAGTGACATAATTATATTCACAAAATGGGCCCAGTATGATAGAATGAAGATTGGGGGTGCCTTGTCAATATTGAGTCACCTGAAATACTGTTGCAGCAAGCAGGTTGTCTGCCTAGTATGACAAATTCCTCTGTCCTCATTGCATTGAGGAGTGACAAAAGGCTGAAATCGAAGTTTAAATTTACAATTGTTACCATTAATTAACCTTATATTGCAAAAATAATCTAATTTCATTTCTACTAAAATTTGTTTTTCTTGGCCTTCCTGATTGCTTGCATATCAATCGATGACGTAACCGTCGAAATTAAGACCCGGTAATGGCGGCGCCCATTGTTTATGTGTCACTTTTGAACTCATCACCAATGGAAGTAGATAAGACTTGGATAAATCTTTACACAGGAAAGAATACAATTTGAATGATGTATTTACCGCTCAATTTTTTTTTAATGGATTCTTGTTTACAAAAAATAAAATATTGCAACACATTGAAAGACTGTCGAAATATGGATACACGGGGTATATTGAATTCCAAGAGTTTTAAAATACTTTATTTTTTACAATTTTTATTGACGCTGTAAAGTACGGGAAAAAGTAATATTAAATTAATTCTGCCGTCATAATGGATACAGCACAGGCTAAATACATTCAAGAGGTATGATGTCATACGGTTTAGGTTCTATGTTAAGCAAAATGGACCTCCAAAACATGGGATCAAGGATCATGGGAAAAAGCATGGGAAAAAGTGGGATTAGGTACCAAAGACGAGGTTGAATGTCCTGCCAACCGACTGTGTACTTCCTATTATGATCGGGAGATGATGAAAAATCCGTCAACAATGCATTGTGTGAAGTATTTTGAGAATAATGGCCTGGCAATTCGTATAAAAAACGTCAGTCAGCAATTGACTCAATAGTATTTTGTATTTGCTGACAAGCAAAACGACCATGAAACATAGGAAATAATGATTTTCATTATTTATATATTTTGAAACATATCTACTTGTGTCATTTTTCTTATCACAATAATTTAAAAGGTAAAGGAAAATGGCTTAGCTGCAAAACAAAATACCGCATCTTAACAAGTTAAAAATCATTATAACAGTTTTAAAAGTTTTCGTAAAGTTTTTAATTTCACTACAGCTATTGATAACAGAAATTAATTCTAATGATTGGACATTTAAACGTATTTAAAATCATCATGGGATTTTAAAGAATTTTATCTTTTCAAAGAGGATAGTGATTTAATATGTCCGTGTTAGCTCTAAATGTGAAATTGAAAGCAATGCTAGTATTTTAGACTACGGTTGTTGAAATCATATATGACAATTTTAATGCCTAAATCTACATTAGAACTATAAAATATCTGCATATAAAATAAATAAGCTAGTCCTACCTTACCCTTAACACTAGTCTTTAGTTCAAATATATAAAAAATAATATTTCTGCAACGCTTGTTATATAAGCTTTGTTGTTTTTATGAATAATTTTGATAGAAGGATTTATTTTCTTTCGTCTGTAGCTCCTGGTAGCAGAAAGATTGATCTACTGTTTCCAAATCCTGATAGTGTACATCCATAGAATTTTCAATAGTAAGTGGCTCCACATTTTGTACTCTTTTCCTTGATTCTGTTTTTCTCTTGATTTGAATCGTTCTAAATAGGAAAAATAACGAATTTGATGCTTATGAAATAAAAAGTAGTGTCTAAAAACTTCTTTCATAATAATAAGAAAATTTTCCCGTCTAACCTGATCAAGAAGACTACAGAGCAAAGCAGTAGGACATTTAACCCAACAGAGAAAATCAGTGCGACTGGTTTGCTATTTGTTTCGCTGGTCTGTTCCCCCTTGAGTACTAAAAATACACAAGGTATGTAATATGAATAATATATATGCCTATAATTTTGTAGGCATTTCTTATGTTTGCAGGAATAGCATGCTGTTATTGAAAGACTGCAATTGTGCTGGTGGGTGTCTTTTTAGTTAGAAGCTCATTATTCCCCTTAGTAAATAAAATCAGTCATATTCTCCCTTTATGCTGCATGGTTGGAGCAATATAATTTTTCAAGTTTAATCCCAAATGTTCATTTTTTTTTCATTTACATGTATTTAAGTGCGAACGAAATCGCACCTAGACATGTAGCATACAGAAACAAACAATAATAAACTCTTGTAATGGCTTTAATCTTTCTACCCACATTCAGAACCCTATATGGGAAACCTATAATCAATATATCTTAACAAATTTTTGTTGTTGTTTTTTTCTCTGAAAATTGAAAAACAAAGATATTTAGTCATTGCTCTTTAATCTCTTTATAACATGATGCATTTCATTTAATGATATTTATCTGTTTGCTACAAACATACTTAGCCTTTTCATCATGGCATTTTCTTAACCAAAAATACGTTATTCTAACTATGGGTAGTAATCAATATTACTAGGACATTAAGGATTGCTTTTTCCTCTCTGGGTTTATTAAAAAAAAAGAATACTCAAATTATCGAAGAGCTAAAAATACTAACCTTTCATGCAATAAGGATCACTTGAGAAACCTGTTGAACAGAAACATATTCCACTAACATGGTTACATGTGTTCTTGCAGTTTTGCGACCACCGACGAATGCAATTTGTACCAAAGTATCCTTCCACACATTCTGATATAATTTAAAATGCATATTTTAGGAAATATTTGTATTAATTTCAGAAATCTACTCAAGCAAAATATATTAAAAGATAGTTTGTATATATAATATATCATAAACATTTTTATCATCGACATAGTAATTATGATGCAAAATTATGTATAGTGGTCACTACGGGAATGAGCTTAATATTCTTAATATTCTGAAGTCTTATTTGAAAAAAAAACATTCATTCCAAAGACAGTATGAATATTTCAAGGATGGTGGAATTTATGTAATATTTCGTCGCATGTTTATGTTGTTTATGTTGTTTATATTTCTTAAGATATTTAAAATATGACCTACAACAGATGGATCCTATTTTTTACCAATACAATGATATATTTTACAAGCGATCAAAAATAAGATAAGCAGAGTAGAAAGGTCAGCTAGAGTAAAGGTAAAAACAATTATGAGAAATGCAACTCCATGTAAAACAATTTCATTTGCCAATTCTTTCTTTAGTGACACATTCTCGAAAGAGAAACAATATTTTCCTTATATAGGAATACTAATTAAATTAAGTTTCAACGTTTATTGTCATAAATTGATCACGTGATTAAACTTGCATGATTGAAGCAAACTAGATAACGATATTCGAAGTTTAGCCATAGACTGTGGCGTCACGTGACGTCGTCATTAACGTTATGTTGTGTTCGCAGTTATGATAAAGCTGTCCGAAGGCTTAAAATGCCTTGAAAATATACATTTTATTTTAACTAGATTTTTATTTTAATATGTAATCCTTGTTTGAAATTGCAGTCAATATGAGATAATAGTTTAATCAGGTTTTATTTTAAAGCATTTTTGTGATGTTACATGACTGTGTTGATCACGTGACGGAGATTCATGATTTTCCAAAAAAAAAAACAAAAATCGCTTCGGCACAAGTGCAAAACAAAAATATTATGCAAAGTTTGTTACATAGATAAATTCATCGTGATCTCTGGTACATAGAAAGTGCTGGGGCAGGTTTAATGTTTACTCGCTTAGAAAATATTTTACGCGAAATTCAACTTACCAACATAAGAAGGGGTATTTTCTACTCTTTATTGTGATTTATTCAAAATGGATAAACTAACCACAATCCCCCAACAAAATTCAGTTAGAGGACATACTTCTATTGTTGATTCACACAGAATACCTTCAATTTGTCCTTGTTTATCACTTGTGTCAGTCCAATATAAACACGATTCATAAATTCTAACTCTGTCTACGGACGTGTAAGGGGAGCGTTTCAAACTTCATTTTTTGCTATTGTTTGAATATGTCCATATCGGACAAGCAAAAATAATAGGGATATTTAAAATTCAAATGTTTTAAAAACATCATAACAGCACACTCGAGCTTTAAAAAAAATCCTTACACTTGAATTAAACAAGTCCCAAAAATAAATCTACATGCTATGTAATTATTATGACACTTTCCCCGTTATGTCAGCTCAAGTCTGCAGTGACTTGAGGTCATATTCTATCATATCTATGTAGTTCAGAGAAGTTACTACATTTTAAACAGTTTGATATTTTACGGGCAGCCTTATCCTAGCTGCGTTGCCACCTATATTATAAATAAATTTACAATATTTCATTGAAATTCTAGATATGATATGCCATTTCTTAAGTTATGTCTTACGTACTTGCGTCGCAAAGTGATCCATTATATCCGTCTGCGCATCCATTTGCACAAATTCCAGTCACGTGATTACAGGTATGCGATTCTGCACAATGACCACTACATATGTGTTTACATTTTGGTCCAAAAGTCATTGGTGAACATTCTGAAAATTCATGTTATATAAGCTAAAATGTATAAGCATGACTCAATGAATAACTTTTTTTGCGATAACTTTAATAAACTATGCAGGATACGGTTTACACAATTTTGGAAAAGGCAGCAATTTTAACATGACTATGAACACTGTTACTTTATATAATATCTAGGAGCAGAGAAGTAGAATTTCCAAAATGAAAAATAAGGCAGTTTCACTACATAATTTGAAAACTCGACACCTTCCCTAAGATTAGAACTCTAATTAAATGGGGCCATGGATTTCACAAGTTTGGTAGATGACTCAATGCTTATTATAATCATGCAACCAGTTTGACTACTGATGTCTAGTAGTAAAGAAAAGAGATTTTTAAATATTGCATTAATTTTAGTGGTTTTGGCCCTATCCTCAGGCCCTCAGGGTGCAGGGAACATAGAATTAAGAAGTTTGATTCACTTTTACCCTTAGATACTTCATACCAAATTTGGTTGAAATTTGGTTGAGTGTTTGCAGAGGGGAAACTGAAAATGTTTTAATGTTAACGACTCACAATGACGGACGAAAACGGAGAAGAATAGGTCAATTGAGTTTATTCAAGTGCCTTAAAAAGGTATGAAGTTTTCGGACGATGGCATTGGCGACATATGACACGCGACAAATGTACGCTGGACAGAAAAAAGCTTTATGTTTGTTTGATTCAAGCTAGGGATAAGTAAAAATTGCTTGCATGTGCAATACGTATTTACTTTGAACAAGAGAAACAGATATCAAACAGACAAAGAACGAACCGTACCTTCAGAACACTTAGAATCTTTCCAACCTGGAATACATCCATATTTACATGTGCCCATTTCGTGGTCACAAGACTGGTTTACACAATTTAAGCTGCAATCCTTGGAACAATTATTCCCGTATCGTCCAAAGCGGCATACTTAGAAAAAAATGTAAAAGAAAAATTAATAATAAACACCAATAAATAAACAAATAGATAAATAATTTTTTGTGGATATATATATAATTTTGTAAGGCATCTTACGTTTATCACATTTTTCCCCATGGTAACCAGCTTTACACCCAGCATTACAGTTTCCTGTCACATGATTGCAACCACTTTTGCAGGTGAAACTACACTTTTTTGAACAGTTCTGACCAAAAGATCCGAAGGGACATTCTAAAGAAACAAAATATATGCCCTTTACACAAATTAGCAGCAAATTAATGCAAAGAATGAACATTTTATTTCTTATATTTTCTTATACCGGGTAAATGCATCATCATTTTATATATGGCAGATTTAGATTAGACACCTCTGATGACACCTTCAATCACCTCTTATGTTTCGCAGGTCCGTGTTTGCCCTGCTCTTATTTTGTATTGTTTGATGAACTTTGATATTGTATACTTTTCGTTATCTCCATATTCTTCATTAGACATTATGCCATGGTGTCTGCTCACTATTAGTGATGGACCCTTTGTTTTTTTTTTATTATTATTTTCAAAAATACCATAGAAACATGCACTGTGGCAACGCACTTTGAAAAAATAAAACAAAAATTCTACACTTAGATTTTAGTAATTGATTTGAAATCAATTTGTAATTATTATATCTTTCGAAAAACTTAAATTTACATATATTGAGAACAAGGCGAAGAAGAACAGAGGGTCTCTCAGCCAAACTTTTTATTTTCTTATGCATAGTATTCGGTACAAATTGAAAGTGCCCCCCCCCTCCAAAGGTAAGCCCCAATTGTCAATGCCTATATCATGTATATCTTTGCAAAACATTGTTTGCATAACTGGTATGACGTTAAAATTTTCAATAAAAAAACAGTTTGCATGAAAAACATGCAAACCATAAAAATGTAAGTACAGTACAACATTTAAGAGAGAGAAGAATTTTCAAAATATAGAAAAATCAAAATCGCTCACTTTAATGAAATTACATCCTGAAGTGACCTTATCATCGAAAAATTATCCAACAGGTTCAATTATATATACAGGTGTAATACCTAATATTTGCAAAATATTGACCAAGCCATACACATTTTTTTCAAAGTGCGTTGATATGGTCCATGTTAACGTACTTTGAAAAGAAATTTTATTTTTTTCAAAGTGAGTTGATTTGGTCCCAAAATTAACGCACTTTGAAAATTTTTTTCAAAGTGCGTCATTTTTCAAAGTGCATTGTAACAATGCACTTCACCTCCTGCATTTCCCATGTTCTATAAGTATTTTACATGCCTCAAAACTCGATTTGAATTATCATCATTTTACAATCAAAGCGATTTGATGCACATTAAGGACAGATGATACAAACAAGAAAATGGACGCATGGATTGCTATATACTATAGTACATGTATTTCTAAGTCTCTTTTTGTTGCAAATAAAGAAAGCATCTAATAGATTTAAAAAATATCAAACAATTGTAAACCTTCTCTGATGTTAAAAATTAAACCTCTCTCCAGCCAATTTTAATAATCTATATAAATATTTTTACTTCAAATTCCGGTATATTTTAAGACATTAAAATAAGGATGTTGAGGATTTTGAAGCAAATATTAATTTACCTTCATCACAACGAACACCAGTATATCCTGCAATGCAGCCTTCTTCACATTTACCGGAAAATCGATTGCAGGTTAGATTACGTAAACAGTTTCCACTGCAGCTAAAGGCACAATTCATCCCATAATTTCCAAGTTCACATTCTACAATGTTAAGCGAGACTGCATATTCTTATTATTTGAAACAAAAACGCAATATCTGAATTCAAAACCCAAATATACTAAATGAGCCAACTCACGCACACTTGAAAAGTTTATTGTTGTTAAAATGTTTTATTATGATAAATTATTATGATAAATTTGTATGTAACTTAATTAAACCTTTATGATCAATTAGAATAAATTATTACACACTTAGTAATAAATACAGGTTTTTTGCATATGCGATATGGCTGACGTCACAATAGCCGTATCAGCCCTGCAGGGCTGATATGGATTTGCAGGGCTGATAACCTATATCAGCCCCGCAAATCCATATCAGCCCTGCAGGGCTGATGCGGCTATTGTGACGTCAAAATCACACCCTCTGTAAATTAAACCACAAAAACAGTACTTGTGATCATACACAAATTTTGGTAGGTTTATATTCTCTTAATTTTTACTTTTTTTAAAATAAGGTTATCTTAATTTACAAATACATGTAATAGATTATTTTCAAATTACGGATCGAGTGCATTGAAATAGAAGTAGAAACAAACGCAAATCGTATGAGCGATAGACCATATACATTTATGTAAGAAGTCCATGCATAATTATTTACTTATTTTCTTCTCAACCTAATGTATGCTGTATTTTATTACTAAGTATGTAATAAACATATTAATACATACCCTTTTCCATATCATATCCTGTATCAGCCCTCGACCAATATCAGCCCTCGGGCCTTCGGCACTCTGGCTGATATTGGTGTCTCGGGCTGATACAGGATGTGATATGAAAAAGGGTATGTATTATTCTCTATATAAAGGAGAAGAAAGACTTCTACATACAATCCAATATACAGTTTATATATATAAAAAAAACCGTTATTGTACAGGACGTCTTGTATGGTTCTTCCATATCGCATACATGAACAACAGAAGTTGATTCCGTCATTGAAATAGTTATTAAAAATTTGGCAACAAAAATTCCGACTTCAAAGTTGCAGCTCATATTTCTCTAGAGTTCCTCTCGAGAATGTTTCGCTCATATGAAGACGCTACCACTTATCGATGGAGAGCGGCAAAGGATCACTACATTATAAATAGGGATCTGACCTATAGGACCGGGCTTGGTTTTATTCTCTACAAAAAACTTGTCGATATCCGTTCTGGTTAATGACATTAGGCTGAATACATATAACAATTTGTTTTTCCTAAATCTTTATTTCAGTGAGTAGAGTACAGAGGAACCCTTTCATTGATTTTCTGATTTTTTTTTATCTCCAAATGTAATAACTGATATTTTTCTTTACTTCTCATTGTGCATAATGTTAATGTCTACTGTCTCTGAAATTCTTTTCTTTATGTCTAGGCTATTTATCCGTGGATATAATAAAGCATGCCATTAATGTGTGCAAATTATATAGGCCTAAATGAAATCCAAGGGGAAACAGTTACTGAGATATGTAGCCAAAGTCAATTTGATTAAATTCTAAAGAATATATACAATTGAAATTCATCGCATGTCAATACTGCCAAGAATACCTGTATCGAGTAACACAAAGTGACTTATTCTTGTCCTCGGAGAAAATGTGCTTATATTGTTCCGCCTGACTGAAGACTGTACATTGGATTGTTACGATTTGATTTCTCTTAAGTGTTCTTATATCAAGAATGGGCATGCATAAAGGATAGATAATTGAAAGAAAATCTACAAGTCAATAAAAAAATAAAATAATCTTTGAAAAGGCGAAAAATTTAAACTTTAAAAGTGTGATACCAGGTGGATTCGAACCCCCGACTTTAAAAAGAAAGTATCGATAGTGTAAAAGATAGCCCATATATCAACTGAGCTAGTCTGACTATAAACTTGAATGGCATAAATTTTAAGCAGATTATCAAAATCAGGTTTCCTTATTTTTTGTGGTTTTTTGGGGAATTTCGACCCTAGGGCAGGGGTGCCAATAAAAAAATCCCATCTTAAATTATTCTTTACATCCCAACCTATCAAAATATCACAGTTTTATTTAGGGGTAGGCCTGCCCTGAAGGACTTCTAGGCCAGAATACATGTAAAAATCAACGCTTTAACGGACAAAATGGTGTTTTGGTCAACTTTGGAGGTTTATTGTAAAGTTATAAATAATATATTTTAGGAACAAAATACAAATTTGAAAAAATTTAGACATATATACGGTAGAAAACAACAAATGAAGTTAAATATTTAAATGTCACTTTTTCCGGGAAATTGTTCTCTCCTATAGGTCAATTCTTTTGTCAAAGCGAATACATCCTTTGACCCATTCATGGCATTCATACCCATTGAGCAGTGAGGCGTCTTTCCTCGTGCCAGCATCCACTGGGACACGGCAGGGATTTATCGGCCTATTTTTTTTCGAAACAACATTATCAACTCAAATTTGGGCAACCATCAAGAAAAATTAAATATGATCCAACGTCATCATACAAGATCAGTTATGAATAAAGGAATGATAAAATATCTCGATAAGTATAAAGAATTTATACAACTTATTGTATATGTGTATAAGATTCCAATGAGATTTCAATTTATGTACCAGCCACGTAGCATCCTTTTTGAAAGTGACGGGGGGAAAGCCAGAAATTTTTTTTGACTTACCTGAAAAAGTTGACAAGCAGGGGGGGGGGGGGGTGAGGGGATGAGTTGGGGGGGGTTAGAGGCCTACTGTTTCTCAAGGCCAACTTCTTTGAATACCGTTTTTTGGTATTCAATACTACATTTCCCAGATATCAATTACCTGTAGTATGTAGTGGGTTTGTGGGGGGGGGGGGGGGGGGGCAACCAGTCTTTCAATGAACACTTCCAAAAGTAAGAGTAATGCTCCCCCTCCCCCGTTACTACGAGCCTTCGGTACATGTATTTATAATCTGCTTCTAAAAAATATAATAATGCAAAAATATACTTAGAAGACATTTTCTTAAAGTCAAATTTAATGCATAAAAATGCATTAAAATTATATTTTTGTATCTAAAATAACGCCTACAGTTCTTACCATTCACTTTGGGATTAAATGAGTAGATTGAATTTTCTTAATTAATCTAATAATTATATGATATCAACATTAAATAAGGAGGGAATTCGGATTAAAAGTCGGTGATGTTTACTATATTAATATAGCCCTTTGATGAGGTCGATCCATAGATATATCGACTTCACAGAAAAGCATATCGACCTCGCACAAATCCATAGATATATCGACTTCACAGAAAAGCATATCAACCGAGCTTGAAGTGCGATGTCGATATGCTTTTCTGTGAAGTCGATATATCTATGAATTGACCTCATCAAAGGGCTACATTTGTTATATTTTTTTTCAAAGATTGACAAAATCTCCACAAGTTTTCTCGTCTCTTTTTTTAACACCGAAAGACTAGTGATAAAAAAATCTGTTTCATGTAATGTATTTTAATTTTTTTTACTGATACAGTGATTTAGTGGATTTCCTTTTTTAAGCGAATGTAAAAGTGCTAAACTTGTTTAATTAAGTTTTGTATCGATTTTTGAAAAAAAAAACATATTTATTATGGTTCAGTATGAAGCAGATCCTTCTTCAAGACATTACCATTACAGAACATCATGTAAAAAATTGGAGTTGAAGTTTAATTTTAAAAAATCACGTGTTTAGATTTCATTACCATTGTTGTTTTACAGAAAATAATTTTCATATTTAGAAGCATTAAGTCAATATGCATTTCAGAATCTATAAATAGTAACTCAAGTCTATATGCTGTTATATACTTGATCATGTGATCAAGTATGAGCCAATCAGAGAGCTTGGAATATATAAGAAAAATAATTTAGTTTTTTTAAACATGTGTTATGACTGTAACTTTGCTAAATGGGTTAAACAGAGCGAAATTCCACTTTGTTTTTAGACGGGGTCACGTGACCCCGTCTATTAGTTTACTGTCAGAGCCCCTCAAAAAGGAAGCCGTGGTGATAACACATGAATTAAATCTACGCTACATGAAAGAGTGCAGAAATTGTTTTGATCAAAATATAAAATTTTTGTATCAAACTGAAGAAAGTGATATAAACTTTTTTCTAAATCATATTAATGAAGCATTTTGTAAGTGTAAACTCAAAATATTAATTGAAAACACACTAGTTAACAAAGTACTCTCCTGCGTAGTATTACGACTGCATACGCATCATACATTGTTTACTTCCGAAAAATATTAATTCAGACCAGATGAAATTCGGACAATTCAAAAAGGTTTCTAGACTTAGCAATTATTGAAATTTCTACTTCAAATTAATTGTGACCCCGTCTTTCAGTACTGTCTCAGTACTTTGATTTTTTTAAGATAATTAAATACAAAAGCATTGTTTACCAATTGGAAGAAAAACTGACATTTTGGGAGAAACTTATCTTATTTTCAATTGAAAATGGGGCTGAATTTTATGCCTCTGAGTAGGCACTGATTAATCCTTAACACGGGACCTCGGTTTGTACGTTCTCATCAGAAAGACAGGTCTCCACGTCCCACAGTGGGATTCGAACCAGTGGCGTATGGATTAACTTCATTTTCCGCAACTCAATAGCAGACGCTGAGCCACTGCACCACACGGGCGACTGCATTACTATGAAGTTGATATTATGTTAAATGTATCCACGTGTAAATGAGCGATTATCAAGGGATAATGAAAACGTTGGATCCTTTTTTTTGCCCCATAAGCTCTCTAGCAAAGGTATGCTGACAAAATAAAAAAAAATAAAATGGTAACCCTTCCATGAAATAGCTTCAATGAATACATTTACCTTCTTCACATTTCATCCCTCCAAATCCCTCTTCACACCCACTTTTGCAGTTTCCATTAACATTACTGCAAGTCGTATTATCCAAACATTGCCTAGAACAAGTCTGATTGCACTCAAGTCCATACAAACCAACCTCACATTCTTAGAAAACAAATATTAAATTGCGATTAACAACATAATACTTTAACGAAACTATTATTCCGGTCATCTTTTATTTGCGTAGATTCCATCCATGACTGCACTGACTGCAAGTGAAAATACATGAATACATAAATACACAATAGAATTATAATAGACTTGCTGTGTATCTCGAAAATTACTTTCCTGCAAATAACATGAATAAAGTTTGTTCACAGTATTAACATATTTTACATCATACTGAACAAAACGCTTTTGAGCCTTAATTGAGAGATGTGCTTGAGACCATTTTGAACGAAAAATGTTAACGCAAAAATAACGAGCACAATTAATTAATAAACCTATAAACAGGGTATGAAACATTAATTCCTTGAAAAGTGAACTGAAAAATGAGGTTCCTAATGGGAATATGCATTTACTGTCGAGCGGTCAAAGAAATATTTCAAGATTTTCCGTACATTTACATGGTACAGTAGCAGGAACCGAAAAATGTGATATAAATACTCTCAAAACCAACCCTCTTAAATTAAAACAGACATTTATTGAGTCAAAATCAATTGGAACGTTTTTAACTTTAATGTAAGGAGAACTGTTGCTTTCTTGATTTCTTTTAAAATTGTTTATGGCAAACCGCTGCGTTAAATTCTAAATATTTTTACTTTGAAATGTCAAACTTTTTCCGTATTATTTTTACTAAATAAAACGTCATCAATATATTTGGAAGCCGATTTATTTTTTTTTTTCAGATCTAGATCTGTTGCATAAAAAAATATAGAAAACAGATCATCTAATTCAATTTAGGAGCAGAACTTGTCTCAAAGAATTATTTGGCCTCATAATATTGTACTAAATAAAATATGCACTCAAATATTGTATGCCTGCCTGCAACGAAAAAAAATATTCTGAACAAACCACTAGATTGGAATAAAAATATGGATTTAAAATTAAACATTATTAATAATGACGCATATTTAAGCGCAGTCTAAAAATATGCACAATTATCTTTGTGAACATTTGTACTTTTAATTACGGCTGTACTTCCCGGAATGATCCGGGTTGCGCATACGGGTTTTTTTTAGTACGATTATCACTGGATTTAACGTAACGTCATATCTCTCTTTCTAATCTAGCAGCCGAACAATTTGGTAGGTTCAAACTGTAGTAAAATTTTGAAGTATTTGGGCTTAAACCGAAAAAAAAGATATCGTGGATATTCCTGGCGCATTTGCGCATCAATAACGTTTACTCATAGATAGTTGAATACTTCAGGTGTCGATTATTAGGCCTACATATTTTATTCGGTTTCCAAGTATACAATCGTCGGCCTAGCGCCATTTTGATTTCTTAGCATCGAAGCACGTGGTGCAAGAAATTTTATTGTTACGATTAAGTCTCTCGCTTACAACATCTACAAACTAAAGATACTGTGAGCAATGAGCTCACTAAATGAAACCCCCCCCCCCCTCCCGTAATATCCATGTGTTGCTATATATTGTTTTACGGTAATGTGTAAAGAGGAACAACTCGTCCTATCAAATGTTATCCAGAAGCTTCTATTTGTGACGTCATAGGTAAACATATAATGGCAATGTCCATGTTTTGCTATGGGAAACCTAAAATACGAGTCAAATAAAAAAAGTAAAATAAGAGGTGCACAATGGCAATATGTAATAAAGATTTTGTGAAAGTTTCATTAAATTTTACTCAGTAGTATAAGAGGAGTTGCGGATAAGAGATAAAGCGTAACAGACGGACGGACGGACGGAAAACCCGATTACTATTTACCCTCCCACTTTTCAAGCGGGGGGGTATAATAATTAAGTAACTACTGCTTATCGTATTATAAGTCTAATTTTTTTTTTTATTTCGTTTTATATTTTTCTGAAATTTCTGGGACACGATGCCGAAGGTCAAAACGGTCGCTAATAGGCGGTCTACAAGGTCCATGGCAAATAAACCCAAGCGGACACAGTCTACCTCCGAAAGTGTTGAGACGCAAGTAGGATCCCAGTCATTACAGATTTTGCAAGCGTCGACTCCACCACAGCCATTACAGACTACGCAAGTCTCACTCTGCAGCCCATTCAGATTGCCCCCCCCCCCCCCACGTGTTGCACGTCCCAAATATCTCAGAGGTATCACCAGGTATTACCTCCACAACTGCTACTGTGACAAGCAATACTCATAATGCAGGTTATTAAACCCAGTCTACATTGTTGAATTTATCTTGTATTAATTCATTTGAAGCACCTATGTCCCAAGCAATTGCGTCTACAGAGTTTTCCCTTTTCTACTATGTCGAGGCCAGTATCAGGCAAAAAAAAATATCTGGCAAATTTGTTAATTTGGGGATATTATTGGTAAGAGACCCAAATAAAACTCAGGTTTCCTCCACCATAGCAATAGACCCCAATGGGCAATTAATTGCACGACCCAAACGAATGTATAAAATTCAAACAATTGATCGCTGGACTGACGCCTTTATTATTCATAAGAGTGTTTATACAGCTGCTCACCCCGAGAAAGTTAAGCAATTTCTTAAATATATGCAAGACATTGGGCTAGGTGCACAGAAATCACAGGGCTGGCTCACTTATGACGAGCAATACCGTCTTAGGATATCGATCAATACGACTCATGATTGGGGTGTGGTTGATGCTGAGCTCTGGATGCTTTACATGACACCCACTACACTCCAGATTCAGAAATTAAGAGAGGTTCAATTTCAAAAATGTTTTGACTATAACTACAACACTGTACAAAGGCTCATGTCATCAGCTAAATTGTCCCTATCTTCATAGGTGCTTTAAATGTAACAATGTCCACCCATCCAACACTTGTCTTGTTAATTCAGCAACAACGCGAGACAGTTCCTTTCAGCCTTTTCGTTCCCCCTCAAGTAGAAAAGGTCAAACCCAACAGTCAAATACCGCTTTCACAACAAAGCCCAATGCTTTCCAACAAAGTTCAATAGATACTAGTATGGCAAACAACAACAAACAACTGTGCTCCCTGGGAAGTACCTCAATCATAGCTAATGCACTTTCAAATAATCTCTATGAATATCCGGATAAGCAATCTGCAACAATGCTAGATATTGGTTTTAAACAAGGTTTTAAGTTGTTATACAGAGGGCCCAGAACCCCCGTTTTTTTTTTAAATAACTTGGTGTCTGCTAATAAACATGGGGATATTTTAGAGGATATGATACTTAAGGAAGTGCTCGAGGGTCGAATGGTGGGTCCATTTCTAAATCCCCCATTGCCAAATCTTCATATATCTCCCATCGGTGTTGTACCTAAAAGAGACGGAGGTTGGCGTATGATTACGTATTTATCTTATCCACCGTCATCCAGCATTAATTCGTACATAGACCCTAGCAATTCAACTGTTAAATACACATCTTTTGACACGGTGGTACAGACAATTAGCAAGTTGGGAAGGGGGCCCTAATAGCAAAAGCAGACATCAAAAGCGCATTCCGCCTAATACCTGTGCATCCAGGGGATTATGAATTACTGGGCTTGTTTTTTAGGGGAGCTTATTATATTGACAAAATGTTGCCCTTCGGTTGCTCAATATCATGTAAAATCTTTGAAACATTTTCAATGTTCCTGGAATGGCTGGTTAGGAAACAATCGGGATTGAATATGGCAAACCATTATTTAGACGACTTTATTTTTGCGGGAAGGGCAGGCACTAGTCAATGTCTGCATGATTCAGCTAAATACATTCCAAAGTCTGTGTTGGGAAATGGGCATCCCCCTCAATCAAGATAAATCACAGGGGCCCACTACATGCCTGATAATTTTGAGTTTTGAAATAGATACAGTCAAAATGCAAATCCACATTCCATCTGCTAAAGTCCAAGAAATTTCAGAAATACTAGAATATAATATTGTAAAAAGAACAATTACAATAGCATCTCTTCAGAGCATAGTGGGGAAACTGAATTTCTTTGCTAAAGCCATTCCAGGTAGTCGAGCTTTTAATAGGCGTTTTTATAATGCGATGATAGGCAAGCGCACATACAAACCTTATCACCATATTAAGGAGGCTGGGGGGTCAACAAATTAACCACAAAGTAACCATCAGATTTATCTTAATTTTTTTTAGATATGGTATTTTAAGCTGTCAACTATCATTTGGCAAAGATAAAAATTATATATTTTAGTTTTAAATTTTGATCATTTTTGTATATCTTTATATGGATCTCTTCTTTTAAAGGAGATCGAAATAGTCTGAAAATGGCTGCCATCCCCCAGCCTCTTTAATATCACCAAACCAATGAAACTTGACACGCAGATGTGGTTAGATTTTTTAAGCAACTTCCATGGGGTAGTTTATTTCCCTGATACTGAATGGATTTCGCAAGACACCCTAGCTCCAGCTTTTCATGGATAGTTCAGGGGCTGCCTCATTAGGATGTGGCTCCTACTTCAGGGGACAATGGGCTTATTTTCAATGGCCAACATGTTGGGCTGGTACATCGATTCTCACAGACATAACTTGTTTGGAATTGGTACCGATTGTCTTGGCTTTTACAATCTGGGCTGAAGGGCCTCAAAATAAGAAAATAATTTGACACATAGACAACCTAGCTCTTGTTCACATTATTAATAAACAATCGTCGTCATGTGATAGTCATGTGCCTCATTAGACTACTTATGCTTGTCATCTTAAAAAACAATATACAGTTTAAGGCTCACCACATTCCTGGCAAACGTAATGTTATAGCTGATGCAATATCTAGTCAACAATGGCACAGACTCAGGTGCCTAGCCCCAACAGCAGAACACCAACCCCGGACAATTCCAGCTTCCTTCTACAGTGTGCTTTCACAGATGAAATAACAGCCTCTTCACCTCATCATTAGCAAGCAACACAGCCCAATCTTATTCAGTGGGTTTGCAAGCTTTTAATCAATTTAGATTAGCACAAGAATTGTGCATTTTGTTGCCACCTCCAAACCGACATATCTTCATGTTTATAGCATATTTATCAATTAAAGGGTATAAGCAAGCCACAGCAAGGGCATATATATCCGCAATCGCCTTTCAGTGCAAATTTTAGGGTGTAGTGATCCCACCAAGCATTTCTTGGTAGGTAAACTTTTGGAGGGTTTTAAAAGGGCAAACTGTGAAAGAGACACTCGTATCACGATTCTTACGAAACTAACCTATTTGCAGCTGCTTTTTCACTGGCTTTCCAAGTCTTGTTAAGAGTAGGGGAATTTACTTTCTCTAAAGGAAATTCAAGTAGTAAAATTATTCAAGTCCAGCATCTGGTTATTCAAGATTCGGTAATTCATTTGCTTATCAGGTATTCAAAAACTGACCAATATGGTGTGGGAACATCACTGTCCATTAATGCTACTAAGCAATTATCCTGCCCAGTTAAAGCAATGAGTAGATATCTACAGGTACGTCCAAGCGTCCCAGGCCCGCTGTTCTGTCATTTCTGGCCAAATCTTAACTCGTTATCAGTTTTCCGCTGAATTATCAAAAATTTTTAAACATTTTGGGCATAGATAGTAAGCATTATAAATCCCATTCCTTCAGAATAGGGGCCGCAACAATGTTAGCCCAACAGGGTACATCGGAAGACGCTATACAAGCTTCAGGTTGTTGGCGCTCGCGGACTTATAAATCTTACATCAGGTAAGGCTTAATAAGTAACCCCCCCCCCACATTGGTTATTTAACATTTTACCTGTATTGAGAGATAATTTTACGGTGTTTATTTGGGTGCTTATCTACATAAAGCTGATATAGATCAAGTGGCTTCAGAGCCAGTTAACGTGTGGATCCTAGGATCTTCCATCATCAAGAGGGCTGCAGTCGCTGCCACCTGAAGGAGGGGTGGTATGAACCTTTCCATACCGCAAGCAAACATTTGGTGGAGGGTTACAGTGGCATGAAACCTTTGAATCTCCTTCCTAAGCTCGAGTATTTAAAGAATTTAAATATAGAAAACTCCCCGGGAATTATCATTATTCATTGTGGGATTAAAAATATAGGTTCAACACAGTTAAGGCGCCTGCTGCGTTTAATCAAACACATACT